TGCTGCTCACAGTCGGTAGTAAATGTCATTATCTCTTTGGCTAGTTTTTCATTTTTGCATTTATGTGTTGCACGGCCGCTCTGCACCAGTGTGAGAGAACAAAGCCACGATCTCCCAGTGACTACAGCAGGGGTGGGGAACTCTGGTCCTTCAAGGACCGCTATCCAGCATATTTTAGTTTCAACCCTGCTCCAACTCACCGGATTTAAATCAGCCGGATGATTAACTGGCTTCTGCAGAGCCTGATGAGCTGCTGAATTGGTGAATCAACCACTGAATCAGAAGTGTTGGAGCAAAGACATGCAGGACACCGGCCCTCGAGGACCAGGGTTCCCCACACCTGGACTACAGAATAAAGACCAACTGCAGGCTGCACCCTGGAGCATGCACCACACGGACTTAGACTCTCTTCTTTTGTAGTTTGACTTATTTTAATTACATCCGTAGTGCAACAAGCTGCTGTTTACACTCTAGTATTCCACACAGAGATTACAAACCCTGCACACGCACCAAGCGCCGACTCAGATTGGAAGCTGATGAATGATGGCTGGTATTTATTAAAAAAAGAAGGAAACCGCGATTGGTGCTTTCATACAATCATTTCTCTCTCTACTGCTGCAGGAGGAGGTTATGAACCTGCTTTAGACCTTTGTTTGGAGAAACAGAGATTAACTATGATTAGGACTAGGGGTAGACTGATATACCAAGCCGATATTTACCGTTTTTATACATCAGTGTCGGCCGATATTTGTTCTTAGTAAAGCTGATGTAAAATTAGGTGCATCCTTGGGCAACCCGGTGCTGTTGCAGAATTTAATTTAAATGTACTTTTACGTTCACTAATAACTTCTGCATAATAAATACTCACCTAACTTTATTTAGGTGTCTGACTTTAACGCTGAGCAGTGAAAGTTAAGATTTAACAGTTAGTTAAATTCAGAGTTCAAAATTAATTCAGCTTCAGAAATTTTGCACATAAACTGATGCTATTAGTTAGCCTTTGTTTAATTCTGCACAGAGAACTAGTCTGGTAACTCGCAGGCAGAGAGACGCATGAGGGGCGGGACTAGTCAGCTCAAAAATAACCAATCAGAAAAAAGGTGGACATGCCAACTGTACACGCAAACTGTAGTTTTTTTTTTTTAGCTGTTGTCAAAAATGGTGTCTGGCGACGGGACAAACATCTTTCTTTAGAAGAAAGCCTTTCAGCGCTTCTTGTTGTGGTTTTAAAGACGTGTTCAAGTCATTTAGAACAGAGGAAAGAGCCGCAGCGAACTCTGCTTCAGACGCTGTTTTCTTGTTTATGAGAAACTGAGCGTTGCGTTGTTTTGTTGTACGCTGGTCAGCGCTGTTGGGCTCAGGTAGAATTCTCAGGGGTTGGGAATAGGAGCGTTCCCAGACTAGCTGGTCAGGCTAGTTATTAGTGACATTTTAGCCTGAACAAAAGGTGGAAAACGTCGGCCATGAAAATTGGCGGTACTTATTGGCTTACCATTTCTCCTACATATCTGTATCAGTCGACCTCTAATTAGGACTGGACAATATAAAAATGAGGATAACAAATATAGATAAATTTTCCAATATGAGCCCGGCCGATGTATTCAATTTTTCTATTTTTAAAAGCTGATTAAAAAAATAAAATCAGGCACCTGTTTGGCCAGCTGCCGCCTCTACTAGACTGAAGAAAAGACCGGAAGAACCCCAACACATCGTGTTTTTACATGTTTTGAGTTTGCTTCATGTTTGAAGTTCAATAAATATTAAGAGATTTACTGATTTATTTAATTTATATTGCACAGAGTGAGTGTTCAGTTGCCTTTCACGATCAATGTGCTGCTAAAGTGTGTGTGTATGTATGTATATATATATACATATATATATATATATATATATATATATATATATATATATATATATATATATATATATATATGTGTGTGTGTATATATATATATATATATATATATATATATATATATATATATATATACAGGTGCTGGCCAGTAAATTAGAATATCATCAAAAGGTTGAAAATATTTCAGTAATTCCATTCAAAACGTGAAACTTGTACATTATATTCATGCAATGCACACAGACCAATGTATTTCCGATGTTTATTATGTTTAATTTTGATATTTATAGGTGACAACCAATGAAAACATCAAATCTGGTATCTCAGAAAATTAGAATATTCTAAAGGCCAATGAAAAAATGTTTGTTTCTCTAATGTTGGCCAACTGAAAAGAATGAACATGAAAAGAATGTGCATGTATAGCACTCAATACTTAGTCGGGGCTCCTTTTGCCTCAATAACTGCAGTAATGCGGCGTGGCATGGACTCGATCAGTCTGTGGCACTGCTCAGGTGTTATGAGAGCCCAGGTTGCTCTGATAGTCGTCTTCAGCTCCTCTGCATTGTTGGGTCTAGCGTATTGCATCCTCCGCTTCACAATACCCCATAGATTTTCTATGGGGTTAAGGTCAGGCGAGTTTGCTGGCCAATCAAGGACAGGGATACCATGGTCCTTGAACCAGGTGCTGGTGGTTTTGGCACTGTGTGCAGGTGCCAAGTCCTGTTGAAAGGTGAAGTCTGCATCCCCATAAAGTTGGTCAGCAGCAGGAAGCATGAAGTGCTCTAAAACTTCCTGGTAGACGGCTGCATTGACCCTGGACCTCAGGAAACAGAGTGGGCCAACACCGGCAGATGACATGGCACCCCACACCATCACTGACGGTGGAAACTTTACACTGGACCTCATGCAACGTGGATTCTGTGCTTCTCCGCTCTTCCTCCAGACTCTGGGTCCTTGATTTCCAAAGGAAATGCAGAACTTGCTTTCATCAGAAAACATAACTTTGGACCACTCAGCATCAGTCCAGTCCTTTTTGTCCTTGGCCCAGGCGAGACGCTTCTTGCGCTGTTTCTTGTTCAAGAGTGGCTTGACACACGGAATGCGACACCTGAATCCCATGTCTTTCATGAGTCTCCTCGTGGTGGTTCTTGAAGCGCTGACTCCAGCTGCAGTCCACTCTTTGTGGATCTCCCCCACATTTTTGAATGGGTTTGTTGTCACAATTCTCCACAGGGTGCGGTTATCCCTAGAGCTTGTACACTTTTTTCTACCACATTTTTTCCGTCCCTTCGCCTGTCTGTTAATGTGCTTGGACACAGAGCTCTGCGAACAGCCAGCTTCTTTAGCAATCACCTTTTGTGTCTTGCCCTCCTTGTGCAAGGTGTCAATGATTGTCTTTTGGACAGCTGTTAAGTCAGAAGTCTTCCCCATGATTGTGGTGCCTTCAAAACAAGACTGAGGGACCTTTTAAAGGCCTTTGCAGGTGTTTTGAGTAAATCAGCTGATTAGAGTGGCAGCAGGTGTCTTCTATATTCAGCCTTTTCAGAATATTCTAATTTTTTGAGATACCAAATTTGGAGTTTTCATTAGTTGTCACTTATGAATATCAAATTTAAATGTAATGAACATTGGAAATACATTGGTCTGTGTGCATTGCATGAATATAATGTACAAGTTTCACGTTTTGAATGGAATTACTGAAATATTTTCAACCTTTTGATGATATTCTAATTTACTGGCCAGCACCTATATATATATATATATATATATATATATATATATATATATATATATATATATATATATATATATATATATATATATAATTGGAGACTTCTGCAACTATCTGCATTTACTTTTGAAACAGAAAATTTGGTTTTGATTTCATAAATTATCCACTACCCCAAACGTTTCCTAAATGTTGCTCTGACAGCTCGTGGTGACCACGATGAGGGCATTTGCCTTATACAGAGCTCTTGTGACTCCCAACTCTGTCCAGGAAGTGGGCTCAGATTACTGGACTCCAGACGGATAGCAGACAGCGATACGTTTCAGATGTTTGCTGTAAACAGCAAGCCGAGTTCAGCCGTCGTCCTGTTAACACCATCAAAACATTCCATCCTGCCGCAATTTTATAAAACAGCTTTCTGTTGTGAATTTGTCTTCACCCTTTCATGTACAATGCTCCACTCAACGCGATGCAAAGATTTGAAAATTGTCTCCACAATAAGAACCTCCCAACGCAGTTTTGCTGCTGCAAATGAGGCGCCTTTGTACCGGAGAGTGTTGATATTTTCTCTTTTTAACGACGATCTGCTGCAGTTTGAAATCTTCAGATTTCGTTGGCTCTTTGCTTGTTTTCGTGTCATATTTAAGCGTGTGTGTGTGTGTGTGTGTGTGTGTGTGTGTGTGTGTGTGTGTGTGTGTGTGTGTGTGTGTCATGTTGAAGATTGCAGGGTTGATTATGTGTCGGATTTTTGTCAGCAGAGTGACATCCCTTCTAATGAAATAATGGTCTAGCGGCGGAGAGTGCTGGAGGATTGCACATTGTAGACTTCAATTACAGACGAGCTGATTTTTTTCCACTTTCAGTCAGAAAAAGAACACGAGTTCCTTCTTTTTTTCTGTTCTACAAACAAAAGATCCTCCATAAAGAGCCTTTTCTGATGGACTAGTGTAAGTTTTTTTCTTTTGGTAATGGATTGAAAAGACGCAGCATGCTTTTATTCCAGTGGCTGTTCTTATGCCATACAGTATTAAAAGTATTTCCCTCCTCGTGAGCACTAATCAGCCAGATTACTGGTTGTAATGGCTTTTATTTATATTTTTTATTTTGCCCAGCAGCGCTGTTACAGTTAGTTTGCACAAGCTGCACACTTCTCCTGCCTTTTCCTCACTGTGGTGTCAAACACAGACGTGTCTTTAAAAATTACACCTTTATGACGAGAACTGGTTGCAACAACACGAAGAGGCTTTAAAAAGACTAGCTCTGTAATATCCAAACACGCAAATGACGACATAAAACCAGAGCAGAAAGAAATGCATGAAAAGTTAAACTTGAAAGTAAAAAAGATGTGTGTTGCTTATTTTTGTTATCAGACGATCTTTCTCGTCATCCTCTCAACGTTCCTCCTTTCTGTCTTTTCAGGGTGGACCCCATTCCTTATGACACTCCCAAGCCAGCAGGGCACACCAGGTTTGTGTGCGTTTCTGACACACACTCCCGTACAGATGGCATCCAGATGCCCTACGGAGACGTGCTGCTCCACATGGGCGACTTCACCGAGCTCGGCCTACCGTCTGAGGTGAAAAAGTTCAACGACTGGCTTGGTAAGAGGCTGTGTAGCACACACGCACTCATGCACGTGCACACACACACACACACACACACACACACCATCAGCAGAAGGAAGAGCCACAGGCTTGACATGTATCCTTAGTTTAACTGGTAACCAGACCACACAAATAACCCCATCCCCTATTGACCCCCCAGCTGCTCTGCTCAAGTGTCCAGTTTAACCCTGCTGACCCCACACCCTACTTTGGTTAACCTTTGACCTCTCCCCCTGGCTGCATGCTGTGGGTGGGATCTGTGTGAGGCTTCTATGGTGTTCCACCCCTGGATCTTTTCCAGGAATTTATATAGTATTTAAAGATCTTCACATCTTAACCTTTGACCCTTGACCAGAAACATGGATGTTTATGTCAAATTTGCAGAGCTGTCCAGGGCTCCCCGAGTGAACCTACAACACGCCTGGGTTTGCTGCAGAGCTGCAGACCTTTAAAGGGATACATCTTTAAAAATTGATGTTTCCAGTATCAAGCACTCGCCCCCCTGTTGAGTTTAAAGGTCGCTGTCAAATTTGCCTCTTGAAAGACTACAGAGTTTACTGTCAGTCATGATACGCAGAGGTCCCCACGGCGACGCTGACCCAGTTTTCACGGCAAAAATAGAAATCAAATCTAGTTAAAATACAGAAACTTCTCACATCGCTCCTGCTGCGAAATCCTCGTTTTGAACTACGGATCCTATTATTCCGTCCACGTTTATTAACTTAAAACCCCTTTCCTGCTTGTGAGTCAGTAAAACCGGGACTGAGATGATGCTAAACCTGATTTTCAGTGAGTACCCTGCAGCCTTTTCACGTTTCCTCATTTTTTTCAAAACCTCAACAACAAGCCACATAAAAATATTAAAGGTGTGACGTGAATGAAAAAGGCTTTGATTGTCTGCAGGTTTGGAATCCAGCTGTAATCACTTTCACCAATCTAAGACACAGATTAGGTCAAACCTTCCTCATTAGATTAAACACATTTAAAATTACAACCTTTATTTCAGACAAGAATTCAGCAAATAAAATGTTTTTACGCAGTTTAACATGTATACTTTTACACAGAACTAATGTCCTGTTGACCTGATTCTGTGATTGGTCAAATTTAGTCGAGTTCAACAAACAGTCTGGAACAAGACTTTGCTTTACTTTGGTCTCCCTCCCTGGACCATCAATCACCGGGAGCTTGTCTGTAACAGTCGGCCACAGTTTGTGTCTGTAGTGGTTTTATTCAGCTAGTGGAAAGCACAGATATCAGCCATAATGGGAAATCGATGCAGAGCAAAGTGGAAAATAGCTGTGTGTAGTCGGCTCGGTAATGTCCTCGTGAAGACTGGATGTCCAGAGTCGCTACACCTGCTGTTGAACTCTAAGGACCGGTAACTTTGTTAAAGGCTGATATTTAAAACCACCGGTACTTACAGGAAATTATACCCGTCTTTTAAAAGAAAAGATTTTCAGAAATTATGAAATTTACAAAATCTGTGCTTGTGATCTAGTAGGTAGTAATTTAAAAGTAGAAACAGTAGAAGCTAATGTTCATTTTTATAGCTTTAATAAAATATTCAAGCAGGTACCTACTGATCTCTGTAAACACCATAGGATAGATGCTGCTTTCAGGGTCTCTGCAAGCTGCAGAGAGCGACAGGCAGCTGGTGTGATCAGCTCTGAAAGGCGTTGATCAAAATTAGCAGATCGACCGCAGATTTGACTTCCAGTCGGCATACTGGGAATTGAAACTAAGGGTCAAATAAAAAACTTTGACCAATTCCAGGAAAAACTGAAAGTCCTGGCAACAACATTGCAATATGATCCTATCCACAGAAGCAACCATTTAAATTAAAACCCAGACTCTCCTCTTTACAGCAGTATAAGTACCATCACTCTACCTGCCAAACCCATGGAACTCAGCAGCAAAACTAAGCTAATTTCATGAAGTCAGAAGCATAAATTCAGTCGTACCTTTGCTGGTATTTGGTCATAAAAATCCATGTTATAAAGACAATCCACCCGGTTTGTGTAATTTAATGTCCCAATGTCACGCTGAGGTGATTCCTGGCTGTTTGGGGCTGTTTTTACCTGCTGAAGAGTGTTTACAAGTCTACGAAGCCACATTCCATCATTTTTCGACTATCCAAATAAACTCCACGAGTTGTACTCAGCTGCTCTAAAACAAACAAATTGTGAGCTATTTTTTTTAATAAATAAAAAAACTGAATGGTGAACTGTGGAGAGTGTCCAGTTCCAGGTGAACTTCCTGAGCTGAGCTGAGACTCCGCCCACTTTTGGTTGCAAACCTCTGCCACCAAAGGCTCTCTCCTGTTCTTTGTATTGGAGGGGGATCCAGCACACATGCGCTAGTTATAGAGTAGGTCTATGGTAAACGTTGCTGCGCCCGGAAAAGAGCAGGAAATGCGTCACAAGACCACTCGGTCATGGTAAAAGTGTGAAATAACATTTTTAAACAACACATAAATGCAGATTATACACAGCACGTATAGTCTGTATGATGTAGAGATCGTTTAGATTAACTTCCATGTTTTTTTAAATATTTTATTTAGTTCCCTATCTTCTTCTTACTGTGAGCCTGGTGTGGCAGCGCCCTAACGCCCTCTATGGACGAGCCGCCGCTGATATACATACATCAGCTTTTTGGCATTTTCATACATGTACTAGTATTTTTAATTAAGCAAAATCAGTTATTTTGACATGTTTGTAAAATTAAGAAAGTAAGACACTTTTATTTGCTCTGGATACTTGGGCTTTGATCTGCTAGATGGACAAAAGTGATCCTGTTGATGTTTTTGCCTTTTACCTTATTTCTTTAAGCTTTACAAACACAATGAATTCCTATTAAAGTCTGTGTGAAAGGGTTTGATATTCCCTCAAAGACTGCTTTTCATGTTGTTGATGAAGGCAGAGCGTCTGAGTGAAGTCAGCGGAGACTCCACTTTGTTTTGAATTATATACCAGATATTTTGTTGGTTTTTCTCCATGAATAATAGGTGCTGCTGTATGCCGACTGATTGCTGAGATGCACTTAAAAGCTAATGCAGTTGCAGAGTCTGAAAAGATTTAGTGAACATGCGTGTGTTTGGAAAGCTACACATTTTCTGTCATCACCGGCCATCGTTTTTACTCTGGCAGTCTGAGAGATGCTTTAGGAAATAATATTCCATTGGACTTTCTGGATTCTCACACAGAAGTACAAGATTTTACAGTCAGGTGGAGATTATGAGTCAGGAGTGAAACTACTGGAAAAACACTAGTTTGGCTGAATGCTGAAACATTTAAGGTGGACTTAAGCAGTCAGGACTTCAGCCACTTCAGGTCACATCTACTTCTGATTTTGTGTGAAACAGAATTTTTGGAGGAATGTGGAACTGACACATGGAAATTTTAGCTGATTTCAGGAACTAAAGCCACAGAGGAGCATAAAAGCCTTTCTGGTTCCGTTTAGGGATGTCCTGATACGACATTTTCACTTCCTCTATGATACCGATATTGCAGCCTTTAGTACTAACCAATATCGATATTGATTCGATACAATATCAGCACAAATCACACATAATTTGACCTATTTCGTGGTGTGGAATGTATCAAAGGCTTGATCAAGTGATATTACTCAGAACAAAAGCCAGCAACAGTAAGAATGACAAAACATGTTTCTGTTACACCACGGGAAACCTGAAAAGACGAGTGTTGCATTGAGCCAGACTGAAAAATACTGCCACACGGCCAACATTGCTCGTGTTCCTACTTCGCTAGCATGCGCTGTTCTGATCATGTGGGCTTTGCATTCTGCGTCTGGGGTGCTGCTGGATAGAATTCCTGGAATGGAGTTTAAAGCAGAACGGACTGTGTATATTGAAGACTTTTGATGTAGTCCAATATAATCCGATACAGTTTTTTTTTTGGAGCCGATAACGGACCTATTTCCGATATCAATGTCTAAACGGGATATCCCTAGTTGAGTTATTCTTGAGAGTTTAGATTTCCTCTAGGGGTGTGTATCGGTAGGACTCTAGCAACACATTAAAAACTACAATACATATTAGATGATACAGTATACTGTGATACTAAAAGCCAGATGATATTGGCAACTTTCATGACTGAATGTAATTGGAAAACTCTTCCAGACACTTCTAAGATATGTCAAGTGTAATCTCTAGATCTTGTATGAATGACAGAAAGCAGTAAAAACTGCTGCCACGTAGCAGTCGGAGTTAAAGATACCCTGCGTAGCAGTCGGAGTTAAAGATACCCTGCATAGCAGTCGGAGTTAAAGATACCCTGCGTAGCAGTCGGAGTTAAAGATACCCTGCATAGTAGTCGGAGTTAAAGATACCCTGCATAGTAGTCGGAGTTAAAGATACCCTGCGTAGCAGTCGGAGTTAAAGATACCCTGCTTTTAAACATGGATTCATAACAAAGTCCTCACGTTTCAGTGTATCCATGTTTACTTACATCCTTATTTTCCACAGCTGTGATGTCCAATCTAAGATAGCCCAAGGTCTAAGGTATTATAACAATCCAAATCGATCACTCTTGAATGTTTAGATAAAACATGCATCACACCGATGATTAAAAGCTTTGTTTCGACGTAAGTGAAAGTTAAAAAAATAATTTAACCTGTAATCTTTGGTGAGGTCTGTATGGTGCGTATTAGTGCTGTTGATATTTTTGTTTCCCACTTTAGAGATTTAATTTGGCAATTAGTTCATTTTTAATCCCTAAACTGAGAAACAAAGCTCAGTGGCCCTAGAACCTTGCCTTCAGTCGGGGTTAGTAAACAGCAGCTGTTTTCCTCGGCCTCCTCCTCTGTTCTTTGTGTCTCCAACTCCAGAGGAGACAGCAGTTTGTCCTGAACATTGACTCCTGCTTGGCCTCCTGGAGGAGATCATTGGAGATCGATGCAGAGGAGTATGCTTCCCGTGACCCAGCTTATCTGATCATAGAGGAGCGACTCTGATCTCCCTCTTTAAGATCCTCCCAGAG